TGTTGATTCAAATCAGAAGTAGAGTAATTATTATACTTTCAGGTCATCAGGAATGAATAAGGGAATGTCTTACATAGGTTACTACTCCCAAGAAATAAGTACAGCTCTCAGGAAACATTGGCTCTGCAGAACGGAGTTAATAGGAACACAGTATAAATCAGGGCTGGAGCAGTGAGTGGTCACAGAAAGGAAGCTGCAGGCTGAAAAACATCCTCTGTAAACATCCCAGAAGAGGTCTGATTTAATTTTGTTCATTTGTTTATTTAGCTAGGAATGTGGATGGAACTTTCCTTTAACAGGGCCTACTCCTAAGTGCTGAGAGAAAGCCTACCAGCCCACTTATAAGAACCCCAGTTGGAAACTCAACAAGGAGGCTGTATTGGTGCCATAGTGTTAGTCTGTAGAATAGTCTCAGGAACTCTGTGATCTCTAAGAGGCAGCAAGGGTAACCAACCAAAAGAGACTAAAATCAGAGTCTAGCACAATTCCTTTCAGGAGATCATTTTTCATAGACATAGTAAATGGCTTTTTTTCTAAAAGCCCATTTTCCTTCTATTAAAGAGAATCATGTGAAATATTGTAAATATTTTCTAGAACCTGCAGAATTTCAAACATAATGGAGAAAGGTGCAGATAAAGTCACCTTGTTTCTTGTCATGGAAATTACCACCTTGTTCTGACTCATCACCTTTAAATTTTTTCTTTTATATGCTATATATGCAACAGAGGATGGTCCTGTCAGGTATAGGTGGGAAAGGAGTTCCTTGGTCCCATGAAGGCTGGACGTCGTGCGTGGGGGAATTCGAGAGTGGGGAGGTGGGAGTGGGGGGTAGGTGGTGGTACGTCCTCATAGAAGCAGGAGGAGGGGGGTTGGGATGGGGGTTCCTGGGCGGGGGGGGATGGGGTAAGGGGAGAACACCTGAAATGTAAATAAAATGTCCAATAAAAAAAAAGAAGAAGAAGAAGAAAAGAAAATCCACTGAGGACAGTCATCTCTGCTCAGGACAGCAAGAACAAGCCATTTGCCTTTGAACCTTTTTCTATATTAGGGTTACCTAAGGTAACCTCGGGGAAATAGGCTAGTCCAAAGTGGTGATGAGGGGTTTGGGAGAAAGAACTCATTGTCTTGCATGGTTTTTCTGAGACAGCTAAGTGTCAAAGTCCATAGCAGGCTCTCTAAAGCCAAGGGTGACTTCACACAGGTGGTTCACAGACCAACAGTCTGAGAGGAAACCATGCAAACAAACCCCATTAGACAAGCTTCTAATAGACAGATGCCAATGTGACTTTAGAAAAAAGAACAATCGCCATCTGTGTGCCACCATCTTTTCTCTGCAACAAGATAATCCTCATGAAGATCTGTGTGCCTGAACGGTCAGATTGTAGTGTGCGTATTGATATAGTGTTGAGATCTTTTTTGAAGCAAAGTCAGAATAGTGTGATGAAGGCCCATTGATAACCTTTAATTAAGCTGAAAAGAGACTTGCAGAGAAAGTCGAAGAGAATAAGACCCAACTATGAAAAGGAGGTTGTGCACACCTGTAAGAGCAGAGCTCGGGAAGCTGAGACAATTGGCTTCAGCTGATGAATGATTAGATCTGTGGATTTGTGCCATTGATAATGCAGTAATTCGTGGCACCAGCATTTAGAGAAATGTGCCTACTCATTGCAAATCTGGGAGCAAAAGAGAGAGAGAGAAGGGAGGCCCTGGCCCCAATAACCTGATTCAAAGGCCTTTTAATATTTATTCAAGCTCAGTATTTAATTCATTCCATCTGCTAACTCACTAATTGACAAATAAACATGGTAGGATGATTCTAGCAGATGAATAGTGTATGCAGTTCCCCAGCTGGGATGTACTACTGGCAAACTGCTCTTGTGAAGCTTTGGGGTGATCGAGAGTCAGGTACTCTAAAGGATAAAAAAGAGGATTGTGTTTCTACACCCAAAACTTCGGTAACACAACAGTTGTCCCCTCTGTTTTTTTTTTTTTTTTCAATGCCGATAATCAACCAACTGGCACCAACTGACATTTATTGAGTGTATACTTTAAATCCAGATACTGTAGTGAGTTAAGTTCAAACAAGGTAAGAAGACGAGTTTGCTTGCAATGAGATTTATTTCATATGCAAATATGATGAATCTTGTTTCTATTCTGGCCTCTTCAGACAAATTCCAGTGATCCTCTTTCCACTGACTACTTGATTCTGACAAACTACCCACAAGAACAATGAACCTTGGCATGATGGGCATTTGACTTCAGGACTCAGGCCAGTAGGAAAAGAGGATTACACATTTGAAGCTAGCTTAAGTTACACAGCAAAACGCTACAACTAAGAAAGGAGGAGGAAGCAGGGAACAGGAAAGAGAACAAGTGGGGAGGAAGGAGGAGAGAAAGGTGGAGAAGGAAGAAGAGCCAGAGCCAGTTTCTCATATACCTGAGACTGTGTAGCCTAATGGTTAAAGCTTGAAGGTCTGGTGTTAGACTGAGTGGTAACTTGTTCACTATGAATTGTGGGCAAGTATTTTAATCTATGTGTGCCTCTGTCTCTGTGGGGTAGCAACCCTCAGAAGGTTTCCTTCTGAGAAGATGCCATGAGCTGAATACTCAGAACACTTGCTCACTGTTAAATGAACAAAAAAAATAATAGCTAGATGTATCAAATAGCCATCTGTGGACAATAGACTGTTCCCAAACTGGTGGGAGATGAATATATGACCACCCAAAGAAAAAGGACCCTGAAGATCATTCCACAGATTTCTGTCACAGGGTCATAATGGCTCAGCATCTTGCCTGAGGTCAGGCAGGTGGTCAGCAGTCACACCAGAACCCATCTCTCTGCCACAGTATCATTGAGAGAAAGCCCGAGAACTGAAACCTGATCCTTCATGTACTTGTATATCCTAGGGATAGATGATTTTTATTAACAGGGTATTAAAGACCAACCTGTTGGGTCTATTATGAGAACAGGACAAGATTCTAACCATCACACCCCTGTCAAAAACTTCCAAGTGGCCTTTGTTAATGAAAAATAATGGCCCAGGGTACCAGACCACTAGAACAGAGCTGGAAGACATCACCACAAATGTTCACACTGCCAGGTCATGCTGAGCACCTAGCCTAGCCCATCCCTAGCTGCAGGAGGAGAGCATGTTGGACAAGCTGTGGCCATCCCAGAAATGAATCATTTCACAAAGCCACCACTTGGCACTGGTGTCAGCTCAGCTTACCATGCCCATATCAAGCTACTTTACAACCTCTCATTCCCTGACAACCCAAGCCCTGTCAGGGTGCTTACCTCCATCTCTGACACACACACACACACACACACACACACACACACTTTCTTGTAGATTTTCTAAGTGCTCCAAGGACAGCCCCACACTTTCTAGCACTTGCTCCTTTGTCATACTTTGTCTTGCTCCTAGCTGCTGTCTCAGCCCTGTGACCCCTTCCCACCACCACCCCTAAAACCAACTGGTGAAAACCCCTTCCCAGAAATGGCAGTGTTTCCATGAAACTAACCTACATTCAGATGGCCTTCTCTATCATGGCCTTCTCTATCATCTGCACCCCAGAACCTTCTATATTTAAGGCTCCCACCATTTGCTGTCCATTCATGATGCTTTCTCTTGGACAACCTCACATCATGTCTGGCTAGCAAGTGTGCAGAACTCGATAAACCCTGATTTCTAGGAGGGAAGTGGGAATGCTACTGAAGAAATAGATGCACAGAAGCCAGGGAGAAAGACAATAAGGAATGAAAAGGCAGCAAAGCGACACTACATGTCAGGCTGGCCTAACAAGAGTGCTTTACCGAAGATCTACCGTGAAGTTGTGAACGGATTGAGATGAGCTAACTCTCATTGCCTCTTTGAATAATGCCCTAACCCAGCATCCCTAAATCCTCTTTAACTGTTCTACTTTTGTGGACTGAAACATGCTCTAAAAGTAATCATTCTTACTCCAAATGCCCACCCAGTGCTTTAAGAGCCAGAAATTAAGCATCTACTTGAGTCAAATCTTTCCAAATGGTAAACAGCATGCAACATACATCTGAACTTCAAAACATTTCTCAGACAGAGGAAATCATAGATGTTTCAGACGGAATTGGCCTTGAGCCACCAGTAGTTCAGCATTTTCGGCCACTCATTGCTAAATCCTGACATATAAAGCAAGCTATCTGTAAGCGCACACGTATAATAAACACCGTGGATATTGTGTTTAATGGACAACAGATTAAGTATGTGATTATAGAATTGTAGACATATAGAGCGGTCTATCACTTGTTTAATTATTCTGTTAGTAATCTAAAAGGAATTTAGATCTCCCTCTTTGAGATATATTTGCACCTTCAACTACATTCAAATTTAAGTGAACGATCCGATAAGTCCTTTATGTGATTCAAGTTTTAAATAATTTGTCAAACTTTGTGTTAATTCCAAATACAACAGAGAGTTTTCTCAGGCATCCATCAAAACAGGGAGTAGAGGACAGGAGGAAGAGAGAGAGAAGGAGGAGGAGGAGTAAGAGGAAGAGAAGGAGGAGAGGGAGGAAGAGGAGAGGAGGAGGAGGAGGAGGAAGGAGGAGGAGAGGGAGGGGGAGGAGGAGGGGGAGGAGGAGGAGGAGGAGGAGGAGGAGGAGGAGGAGGAGGAGAAGAAGAAGAAGAAGAAGAAGAAGAAGAAGAAGAAGAAGAAGAAGAAGAAGAAGAAGAAGAATTTAACTTTGAGATGAAGAAAGATTTACGACAAAACACAAGTCAAAATTTTGTTACCAAGAAATCTCATACTAGCGCCAACCCTGGTCAATTTTAAATAGCAAACCAAACATTTCCTACAAAACAGAAAAGAAAAAAGAAAGAAGCCAGATGTCCCAGCAGTCTTTCCCAGGGTGAGATGTTTTTCTCCCCTCAACAAACAGAAGTCTGGTGAGAAGGGTAAAAGTGCAGGTTAGAGAGCTCAGCAGAACGAGGAGGATGTCCCCCAGTCTTCAGCACTTACCCAGCTTGGCCTGTTCGCTCACACCTTCTTCTCCCCACTCTGTCAGTTAGGATCAGAAGGCAGCTGGGCTTTGGTTGCTGTTTCTGTTCTTTTGACCGAAAAGCCCCATGAAAATTAAACTGTGTTGAATGTGATGTGGCCTTGCCTCACATAGCGAGAAGTAAAAGATTCAAGCTTGGGTTGCTGATTGCTTCTTGGGAAAAAAATTTTAAGTAGTAAGTGGCTAGCAGGAGGCTACGTGGGGGACGTGCCTTGCGGGTGGTAGGCCTGGAAGGGGCCCACAAACTTTCTCAGCACAGCTGTCCAGATGTGCTTCATCTAGTTTCCCGGCGGGGCACTGGCTGGGGCTGCGGTTGGAGGCAAAGCCTCCTCCCTGGTTGTCGATTGGTGGAGCAGCCCGCCACTCCTGCGGGCTCAATCTGCCTCCGCCCACTGGGCCACTCGCATCCTAGAAAGGAACTCATCCGGGCGCGCTGTGCAGTCGCTGATGTGGCACTTCGTGGCAGCAGGGTCTGGGGAGGGGTGGCTGGAGGGATCGCTAAACTCTGAGCTTGCCGCTGCCCTCGCTTCATGACGACAGGCCTTGTAAGGAACTAGTTAGTTTAAGCAGGGGAATCGTTATCGTTTGGGGCCAGGAACAGGATCAGTAGCCTAATGGGGAGGCCGGCATTTCCAAATAGAAGGGGTTGGAGGAGTACTTTACCCAAGTCTCCAAAAGGGCAGTCCAGTCCCGCCTCAAAGATTTCCTATCCACACCTTCTCTGGCGAGAGAAAAGTAAGTGTCTGAGAGCACACTATTTGGGGGACAGTATTCTAAAGATTCAGGAATAATGAACATTTTACTAAAACGAGCTAATCAGAAATGTGGTCGTTTCCGTGGAGAAACCCTGGGTGGAGAAGACTTCCTCCCTTCTTTCCTCCCCCCCCCCCCCCCCCTCTCTCTCTCTCTCTCTCTCTCTCTCTCTCTCTCTCTCTCTCTCTCTCTCTCTCACACACACACACACACACACACACACACACACACCTGTGAGAACTCTAGAATTGCACCAAGCACGTTTTGATTCTGGATGAAGTCATTTGTATCCTGTGTTCAGCTTTCAGAATCATCATGGAAAGCTGCTTCAAAATGAATTGATCATCAAGGATTAACTAGCTTTCCGTAGATTACCGTCAACATACATCAAGTTTATTGACTACTAGGACAGGAACCTTACAAGAGAGAGAAAAAAATATTCGATGTACTTGCAGGAATGTAGATGCAAGTTCCCCAAGGCTATACATAACTGACCCTCTTGGACTTACACAGAAGCCAGCATGAAGAGATTCTGGAGGGCCGACCCACTAAAATTCTCAGCACTCAGGGGGCCACATCATGGTGAGGCTACATGTAGGCTTTGCTTTTGACCCATTAACTCAGACTTGAAGCTGAAGATGTCAATCTGGACCTAGAATGTCTCCAAATGACATGTATTAGCCCAAGAAAGTGGAACCATTGAAGTCACACATGATAGAACGAAGTTAGGCCGTTGTGAAGCATTTTTTTTAAATATTTTAACTTATTCACTCTACATCCTGCTTACTGCCCCCTCCCAGTCGTCACTTCTCACAATCCTTCCCCCATCCTTGCCCCCCTTCTACTCTGAACAGGTGGGAACCACCCTAGCATTTCAAGTCTTTGCAACCCTAGATAATTCCTCTCCCTATGAGGCCAGACAAGGCAGCCCAGCTAGAACACATCTCACATCTAGGCAACAGCTTTTGAGATTGCTCCTGTTCCAGTTGTTTGGGGCGCATATGAAGACCAAGCTGCACATCTGCTATATGTGAATTGGGAGGCCTGGGTCCAGTCCCTGTATGTTCAGATTCTAAGAGCCCTAAGGTTCCAGATTAGTTGACTTTGTTGATCTTCCTGTGAAGTTTCTATCCCCCTAGGGGGCCAAAATTCTTCCCCCTATTCTTCCATAAGAGTCTCCATCCAATGCCAGGATGTGGCAGAGCATGATCTTAAAGGATGTATTTGAGCCCCAGCCCTTCCTAGTCTCTCTTTGCTGACTAGGCTCGAGCAGACTTCCTCTACCATGTGTTTCAGCTATGAATTCTGCCTCATAGGCCCAAGAGTGACTAAGGCTGAAAGCTCTGGAACTTTAAGCCAAATAAACTTTTCTTACTTTTAAATTGTATATTTTGTCATGGTAAAGGGAAAGCTGACTACAGAGTAAGAAACTAAAATGCAAACAGGTATAGAACTACATACGGGTCGGGGAAACTAGAGTAGACTTAGTGTTTACTCCTTCAATAGCCAAGGATGAGGGAAGGGAAAGTCTAGATTTAAAAAAAGAATGCCTTAAGACTTCATTTAATAGCCATTTTGCTGCAACCAAACACCAGTAAAAACTGGGGCTCACTCACATTCACATTCCTATCAGGAAAGCCCCCAAGAATCCTCTCATTGGATCTTACCAGTCCATGGCAAGATAAAGAGGTCAAAACTTCTTAACAAAACAATAGCAAATACAATGCAGCAATATATAAAAAGAAACACACACACACACACACACACACACACCAAGTATAGTTTCCTAGGAATGTAAGTCTTGTTCAGTACTTTTTTAAAAGATCAGTACAATCTATGTTGATAGCCTAAAAATAAAGTCATGAAATATCAAATGTGTGAAGACAAGCACTTAGCAAAACTCAACACCATAAATATTCCAGAGAAATGGGAATAAGGGATAACTTTTAATCTTTGATAGGCATGAACCAAAAAGCTCTCCAAACTTAATGTGAAGGACAAGATAATTTTGCACATGCTTCATGATTATGCTTAAGGAAGTTTTCCAGTGATAAAGCTGTCAAACAGAGAGTAGGTGAATGGTTGATCAAGTTTAAGGAAGGTGGGGGCTGGGAAGGAAATGGGCATGGCTATAAAAGGCATCCTAAGGAATGTAACCGGAAACGTGTCACTTGGCTGTACTAGGAAACAGCACAGTTCAGCATAGTGAAGCTGGAGGAAACTGGAGATAGATCCATGACATCTCCTTTGTTTCTACCAACTGCCTGTGCATCTACAACCACCTCAAAATAAAAAGGTTAACTTTTTAAAAAGTTTCTGAGACTGTGCCTCACCTCCTCCTAGGCTATGTTTCTCTGGACATCAGTTTGGTCCCTTGATAAAGCCCTCTCCAAAATGAAATCATCTTTTCACTGCTCCTGGATGACACCCTAGATGAAAGATGTTGAGGATTATTTCAAACAAACAAGCAAACAAACAAACAGACAGACAGACAAAAACTGGAAGTTTAGGGGCTCTTCCTTGACCGTCATGATGCACGATGTTCATTATCCGTTTCTTGACAGCACCAAGCCAACTGGATAGTTCACCCTGCAGTGTGTAGTCTGACTTGGTAAATTGACATGGTCCTAGATGATAAGGATAACGAACACTTGGCTGAGTGTTCAGCTCACTGAGTCTGACCACAGGAGGATGAGTACACTCGGATCTCTGTAGGTTTTATTACAAGGTACTTGTCTTACGTGTACCTGACCATCTTGACAAGGAAGCTTGATGTGAATAAGGAATAAATGGAAAATAGATGAGGCAGTGGTAAAGGTAGATCAGAAAATGTGTCATGAATGTGAGCAACACCTGAGACTGTGAGACATACAGAAGAAGAAGGGGCATCAATGATAACTTCAATTTCTTTCAGAATTGTCCTGAAGCTTCCCCCTGCAAGGGAAATGTTTTGATACTGCTCTCGCAAATTGCTGTAAATATCTAATGGTCTGTCATCTCATCACACAAATTACACTACAATTTAGCCAAGTCTATTTGAAACAACAAGCAGCAGAGGATGGCATACACGTCCCACACAAAGCATATGTTAACACCTTTGTATGCCTTCTTTACCTTGCCCATCACACTTTGGTATAAACTATGCTGTTCAGCTAGTTACATGGACAAGTAGGGCAAGGTGGATCAGCTACCCTAAATATCATTCTTCATACAAACAAGGACTGGCCCCAATCACTGTAAATTAACTGGGGCCCTAATGCTTACCAATTCGTGAGCCAGCAGGCCACAATGGAAACCTGGTGTATGTACCCTGACCCATTCGCCACTGATACAAGATCCTCCAAGGACCCTAGTAATTGTCAGGAACACTGGAGTTTCTAGTAATACCCTACATATCCCCAAAGCTGCATATCTTGAATGGAGCCAGGTATTAGCTGCTTTCTCTTCTTAAAACATAGTTATATCTATCTTAAAGGGGACTATAAGAGGTCTATAAGTGTCTTAAAAACATAACCGAGTAATTTTGATTGCTGAGGTAAACTCTCTGGAAAGGAAACTAAGGACTGGAGAGATGGCTGGACATACCAGGCTCTTGCTGCCAAGCCTGATGACATGAGTTTGATCTCCAGAACCCACATGGTGGAACAAGGGAACTGACTCCCACAAGTTGTCCTCTGACCTCCATACATGCATCTTGGCTTGTAGTTCCTTGGAGGAGCTTTCCAGAGAGTTAAGTGATACATTACTTGTGTGTGTCCTGTTGACAGTTTTAACAACTAAAGTAATTACTCAACTAGAAAAAAAATGGTGTAAGTTTTATTACATGCTTTAAGTAAAGCCACTAGTGTCATCACCTTCGAGTCATTCAGGTTAACCTCAGCTTATAGGCATTACCACCCACAGTCACCTGTGTAATCTCTAACCCATCCTGTTGACTCTATGTAAACGTTGGGTACCAAGTGAAATGGTGAAAAGAAAGAGAGGGAGAGAAGAGAGAGAAGGAGGGAGCACTATTGGCTTTATAAGGTAGATCCTAATGGCTTATTATATGTATGCACCTGATCCAGGGGCCTCTGCAGGAAAAGTGAATCTTGGATCTATAGGACAAGGCTGCAGATACTTACAGTGCTGTTGACATAGCAGATCCAAGACCTATGTCAACGTGTGTACATGTGAGATAGACATGTGAGGTAGATTTCTGTCCCTGCCTCCATTCATTATATTAATCAGATTGGCTGGTGATAGTAGACACTCAGGAAAACATGTTCTTAGTAAAGACAGTGTGGTAGCAAGGGATAGATGTTGTTAGGAGACAATTTTCTCCACAGATCTCCCAATAACAGTAGCACTGACAGCTCTTTTTCAAACATATTCTCAAGAACGTTTGTGTAACCTAGAAAAATGTCTCCTGGTGGAAACAACCTCTCATTTAATAACAGAGATGTCTCATTCCAATGAAAAGCAGGGAAGGTTCTCTTTCTATCCTAGGGCTTTCTAGGGTTGGGAAGCCACTA